AAATATTTTGTTTAAATATTTTTTTTCGGGAGCAATTTAACATAACAATGTAAATTACTATTAATGTTGATAATACTATTTGCACTTAATTGTATTATAAGTTGATAGTATTTTAAAACTAGTGTGATATTATGCATATTATAATATGTATACTTCTTTAAAACTAAAAATTTTAATTTTGCACAAAATTCCGATTTTTCCTGATTTTTCTGACCATTTTTAATTTCCCTGATATTTCCTTGATTTCTAGTTTTATAGCAATCCTACAATTTTATTTTTTTTTAGCTAAACTTCTTGCATCGTTCGTCTTATTTTTTTTTCCATCAATAAGAAAAAGAAAAGACGAAAAATAAACCAAGAAGATCAGATAAAAAACAAGCCTCCTGTTTAACATTTGCATCATTCAACGATAGATTTAAAAAAGATAATTTAGTTTATTTTTAGAGGATCTTTCTTTTCTCTATAAAGGATATCCTGTATAGTATCTCGTTACGAAAGGAAGTATTGCATAAAAAATATATCTTTGTGCGAGACGCTACCGTTTCTTGAATTGAGCATTATACAACTTTATATCTTATTAAGCAAATAGCCAAGTTATTTCGATTAATGATGTAAACGTTCGTAATCGTGTTGCAAGAAGATTCCAGTGATTAAGTTATGAACCGTAAACGTCGTCAAACTGGAATTGGAGGAAGCTTTTTTTACGCCATGTGATTTAAGTATCACTCACGTTTTTCGACCGCGCCCTATACGTAGAATTCAACAAACAAATGACTCGCACGCCATGTACATTAAAATGACAAACCGTCCTAAATTAGAAGGGATAGTTTCAAATTTTAATTCTTTATTTCATTTTACAAATGCATCCCAAATTTTGTTCCAAATTAAGAATGTGATTATTAATTGTCTCCCTTTTAAGTGTGAATATAATAATTGTGAAATAATAAGTGAAAATAACAAGAGTGGAATATAATTTTCAGCTGTAATGTGTTTTTTTTTTATTTAAAATTCCAGATATTATTCATAAAATACAGTAAATTCAGTAGAAAAATACAATTTAAAAAAATAAAATATGATCTCGTAACTTGATATAATTTTTATTGCATCTCATGCGATGTCATACATTAAGTATTATTAATTTTATTTAAATATAATATTGTTCATTTTCTTTTGAAGTGATATTCACTAAAAAAAATTTAGGAAGTAAAAAATTTTCATCTATTAAAATTTAATTGCGACAATATTAAATTTTTTTTTAATTCCCTTTTTTTCTTAAGAACTTGATCACCTTAATGTACATTATTTTAAGTGACAAAGGTCGGGATGCGCACGAATGGAATACAGTACTGAATACGGTATCGACTTGTGGCTGAGACACGCGTTCGATAATGTGTTCGTAGTTTCAAAATAGTCGAAATTTCTCAACGTGAGTCGCGTGGGCGTACTTAAGGAACCAACCGCCGGAAACGCGGCCCATTATTAACGTCCTAACACGTTCAAAACATTCGAATTTCCGGTCTCGTACGAGTGTCCGTACAACCGCACGATTCTCCTCGTTATAGAAACAATAAGGAAGGAAGTAGCTTCGCGCCGTGTCAACGTCGAAAGAGACGACGATTTCCGTGGCGTGTTTACGATCGTTATCGCACGTTCTTGACGTTCCAAGAGATAACGACGAGCGAACGGACATAAATGATGTTTATATTTACGCGAACGCGTCTATTGGAATCCGATAGCAACAAATTCTTCTTCCACCTTAGGGGAAGATCGATTAGCATCCCATTTCTGAGACCTCCACGAGTTGTACTCTTTAAAATTTTTAGGCCCAGTTTTTCATTATCTGATTAATTGTGGCTTGGCCTCAACTTTAATTTGATGATAATGTATATAAAAATTGTTTTTCTAGTTACTAATCATTAAACTAATAGTAGTGGTAACTTTGAAGATCAGTTTTTTATTCTCTGGTTGACTTGTGGTTAGGCTTAACATGATATTTTATTCAATAGGCTTCATCTATGTTGATGTCATGAATGAAACCTATTGAGTGAAGTATCAGGTTAAGCTCAACTACAAATTAATCAGATAATAGAAAATTGGATCTAAAAGTGACTACTAAATTAAAGTTTAGTGATTAATCATAGCTAGAAAAATATAATTTTTACATTATCATTAGGTTAGCCTAACAGAAGTTAACGAAAAAAATGAAAAACTAGATCTTAAGAATAAATTGTCACTTTGAAGAGTAAAATTTCACTCTTAAAGATTGAAAACTGAGTCACTCTTTTTCAAGACTCAATTTTCAATCTTTAAGTGAGATTTCGTTCCAAAGAATTTAGAAAGTAAAGTCTCCACGAGTCACAAAGAGACATAAGATTTATTTTCGCGCCAACAAAGGGCAATAAGATCTCTGATGAGACTTCAAGTCCTTGAACATGAAGTAGAGGCTGTTTGCAATTCAAGATCATTTATCCGGCGAGCCTCTCAATTTCCTGAGACTCGAGGCGAGGCCCGGCAACGGCGACGACGATGACAGTGGCGATGGCGATGACGACAATGATGACAATGATGATGATAAAGATAATGACGATGATGATGGTGGATTCCGACGTATCTAATCACGTTTGATCGCGGAAAACGTATCTGCGGAGAGAGAGAGAGAGAGAGAGAGAGAGAGAGAGAGAGAGAGAGAGAAAGAGAGAGAACATGCAAGGGTTCAGGATAATACTCACTTGCTCCTGCTCGGCCGTTAACGTGGCTGCCATTTTGGCTCAACGCGCTGGCATGCCCAAGGAAGAGGCGTGTATTACAAGAAGCAGAGAACGCGCGGCGCGTGGCGTAGCTCTTGGTATTATATCCAGTCCCGGTGCCGCGCACGTACGTCCGCAAAAGGAATAAGCATTCTGTTACGTTTCACGCACCGATAAAACAATCCTTCGTCCCCGCCTTCTTGCGCGCGATGCCACTAGTCCTTACAGAGCACAGCCACCCTCGATGACGGCGGCGGTAACGACGGTAACGGTAGCAAGAAACGGTAAATCACCCCGGCGCGCGACCATTGTTCCACCGTCTTGCACGCACTCGAATCTCGAACGCGAATGTGACACTCTCCTCTCCGCTCCGCTCGGCGCGCCTCGCCTCGGCTCGACTCGATTCACTCGATCGTCTTCCCCTCGGCGATCGCGCCGCCATCTTAAGGTAAGCGTCCGCGCGCGCATCCACGAGACAATGCGATCGTTGCTCGGAATTTTTTTAAAATTAAAATAATCGTTAGATTCGTTGAGCTGATAAGATTATTTTTAATTTGTCGATAATTGGCGCTATTTTTATAACAATCGCGAATTGTGTTAAAGGATCACGATATTTGATAAAAAAATACGAAAAGTATCATGTGATCGTTATTACGATTAGTAAAAAGATTAAAAAAACAACTTATGTTCACATTCTATTAATGTAATTTAATTTTATTCTCAGTTCAATTTAATCGTTTTTTGATCCTTAGAACTATAAAAGGATAGAAAGTAAATTAAATAAAAATTAAAATTCGAACGTTTTCCATTTGAAGATAAAAACAAATTGACACAAGTGTTTTTATCTTTGTTTTTCATTGAAATATCAAGAAAGATAGAATGAATGTTTGTGTTGATTTGTGTCACTATATGGAATAAATAGAAAGCACTCATTGATATTACGTATACAAATACATTTCCTGAATTCTTTGAAATAGAATCTCACTTTACAGAATGAAAATTGAGTCAATCAAAAAAGTGGTTCAATTTTTCAATTTTTAAGAGTGAGATTCATTCTAAAAATTTAGAGAGCACATATATATATATTATATATATA